AGAGTTTGTCCTCTCAAACAAAGGATGCAATCACTAGTTCTGGATGGGGATATATATCCCAAGAAAGAGCAAGTTTGTAGTTTGGGAACTGTTACTGGATTTACAGGTGATAGCTGTGATGAGAGCATTTTCACAACTGTAGCTAATGTGCCAACTGTGGCCCTTCCTGAGGTGGTCAGGTTATCTATGTGTAGGTTACATCCACCTTGATTACTGGGATCATGCTTAGATGAACAGGAGAGGCCCTTGAAGATCCTCTAGCTGCCAGAAGCTGAGTTCTCTAGTATGTGGAAAAGAGCCTTCTCCTCTGTGGATCATACACCCAAGAAGATATGTTTGGCTTCCACTATTGTCAATATTTAGGAAAATGACAAAACTAATTTCTTTCATCCAACTTGTAATTGTTACTTGAATTGGTTTTAATAATATTGATTTTTATTTTACCTTAATTTTAATTGCATTAAAATTAAAATGCAGTTTTAAAATACAAATTAAAACGTGCTTTATGAACAGAAAAGTAAGATGTAAACTAAAAAGTGAGAAAGAAAGCGAGTTAATACTATTATTAATTATTATTAATACTATTGTATCACTGATGCTCGCACTGATGATGTTACCTAGTTGGGTAATGAAACGTCTGCAAGCAAACAACCAAGGTTGGAGCACCCAGAACTCCACAGTTCAACCCTAAGCTACAGATATTCTCTTCCACTGGAACTATATCTCTTGTTGCCTTTAGAAACTGGGAGAAACAAGTAAAAAACCCAAACAAATGAAATGGGAGAGCCAGGCTGTCCTTTAGTCTTCTTAGTCCTTGTTTCAATAGTTCTACTATATCAGGGCTGCCCCAATTCAGTTCATTAGATGGCAGCAGAGTGATCCTGGAAACTCTTAAATCCTTGCTGCCATCAAATGGTGGTTCTGACTTCTGCAACCCAGTTATAAGTTTCATTGGCACAAATCCCTTAAGATCTATAGGGTTGTTTTGGCTTGTTCTGAGCCATTCCAATTTCCACTACATCTCCGCTACATGTTAGCTGTGTTCATATGACCTGCTAGATTGGCTAAAAGGAGGTTGAGAAGTACTAGATCCAGTATCTAGTGGGAACCTACCCATTGTCCTCCCATCCCATGTGAACCATTATGTTAAGGTATAATAAGAGTTGTTTGTTTGAACACAGCATGTTATTCAAATAGACCAACTATGTCCTATTGATCAGAATTAGTATTTAGCATGTGGTGTAAACCCAGCCACATGGTTGGCAGGGATCTGGACCACTAGGGTAAATGCTAAAGTACCATCACTGCTGCATTTTTCTTATGCCCTTGATTGCCCAGAACCTCCAACATCGTGCTGATAAATCGAGTGGCTGTTCAGATCTGCCCTTCTCTACAAAGTTGTCTCTGCAGGTTTTTTTTAAATCAGCGGACCAAAATTTGGCTGAACGGCCACTGCCTAAAGTCTGACTTCCATTGTTTATCTCCTTGGCTAGAATGTTTTCCTCCTTCATGCAGCCTCCAGCCAGAATCTGGTGTGGATTTCTTGAGCTCAAGCAGGGCTGAGTACACTGTATGTGTGCTGTATTGTTCAGGTGGCTGCGGCTTGGGTGTCGTGACTACTTAGCAGTGATGTCATCCTAAGGAGCTAGGCCCCATTCCTGGCCTTGGGGAGAGGAGAAAGAGCGCTGGCAGCTGGAGCTCCCTTGAACTGCCATGAAGTGCAATAAACATCCTCTCCGTTTCTATCAACGTGATTAATGGCTTTTCTGGGGAACAGTCCTGGTGTATGTTACGCCAAGTGGCACTGAAGGCTGACAGCTGCAACGGGATATGAAGTAAGGATTTTTGAGGGATGTGCATTTTGTTCCCTCAAATCTCTGATTGTCTTGTGGGTGATTCCCAAGTTGGTTGGAGCTTAACTCCAGCATTTCAATCTCACTGTGATGTGTGATGATCCTTCACACTTGGGAACAGCTGGAGTTAAACTTTCTGCACAGGAGTGAAAAGATCAGACTGCTTAGGACCAGCATCTAACTTCAGCAGAGCTAATCATGTTCCTTTGGCTTTTTTTAGTTCCAGACTGGTTTTTATGATGTTCTGGGAAAGTTGCTCTTGAGTTAAGTTTTACGACACCATTATGGGCCTCATCACAATTCCACTTGATGCTTTTATGTGGAAAGGGCTGGATTTAGGGCTGACCTGGGGCCCTTCCTCCTTTCTCTTCTGCCTGTATCCTTTGCGTTTTGAAGGACTATGACTATGAGGATCCCACCATCCAGGTGAGGTTAAGCTTCTGATTAATGGCCTCTAAAGTCCCCGAGCCTTGGTGGTAGAAGACACCACCCAGAGCTCCTGACACCTGCTACTTGCAATAGAGTAGTCAGCTGTCCATTTCCCTTGCTTTGCTGCCTCAAGTGTTTCTTTTTCCTTACCTGGCTGACAACATGAAAGGCACCGAAGAGATGCTTGCTCCTTTAGAAGCTATATGTAGCTATAACAACCATCACTCTTTCCCCTATATCCTACACATTTCTGTGCTTGGGCGTTGTTTTCTGAGCTGATACTGTAGATACAGAAATGCACAACCTGGCTGTTGCTACTGAGAAAATGCTCTGCACATGCTTAGATCTTTTGTAGTTGTTCCCCGTGTGTATCAGAAGCAAGTTTTTAAGCCAAACCCTAACTTCATATATATGCATTTTGGAAGTAATGTATCTTTTTATAGTGTGATGTGAGTTTGGTCTGATAGCCTGTAGCTCTCCAGCTCATTTCCTGACTATTTGTTTCTGGCTGGAACTAAAAGAAAGAGAAAGATGAATATACTGTTTTATTTGGGTCCTGGATTTTGCATGTTTGAAATTAATTTTGAAATTTATAAACAGTACTAGTTTGGAAATGAGATAATGGCTACATCTGCATAGCCATGGTTTATAATATCAGGATTTACTGAATAAACCCTAACTAACTGTATTTGAAGGGCATTGCACCAATATAGTTAACAACAATTTGCACACATCTTTTTCTCTTTGTTTATTTTTTCATAGGTAGCAAAAGCACTGCAGAGGTGTGTGTAGATAGGGAGAGAAATTTGTTGTGGTTGTAAGCTAATCAGAGCTGTGAACAGCTAGATTGTGTTACAGGCGTGTAGAATTAATTTTCCTATGTTGTGACAGGAACCCAATAAGTTAGGGCCTTATAAGTTGGGCTTTTTCTGTATTTGCTCAATTGGAGATTGTCATCTATAGGGGCTACAGAAGCATTTGTTTTCAGTCACTGACCCCTCCCTATAATAGAATTCCTTCCAGGTGTTCAAATGTCCCCTCTCCTCCTGCCTTTCTAAATGGTTTTTCCATCAAGCCTTGGGGGAAGGGTTGCTGTGACTGCCATATCCTTCTGCACATTGAATTGGTTCTTTGGTTCTGAATGTTCAGATCCCCAGCTTATGTATGGCTGTATTGTGATTTATGGTTTTCAGTTTTGATTTAGATTATGTTACTGATGATCTGTTTGCCTTCTCTACTAATCTCCTCTGTTTTAACCCAAGTTGCAGTCTTGGGGAATTGTACATTGCTCACGGTTGAGTTGATTGGAGCGGCTTTTAAGCCTTATAAACAGGGCTGTCTGTAGGAGGTTAAAAAAATCAAGATGCAGCTGTGATTGTATGATCAAAGCCCTACTCCTTTCTAATACGCATCACTACATATAAAAAAGTGTGGGGTTTCGATCGCCTGGTCACAGCAGCCTTCTTTTGTTCTTTGACCCCTCTCAATGGATGCCCCTGCTTGTAAATTAAGAAGTAAGCAAGTCTGTTTCTTGGGCAGTTGGAGGGTTCAAAATGGTCTCTGCTTCAGCAACTTCTCAGCACATGATTTGAGGTAGTGATGAGTGTAGGAAATGAATGGATGGCCACAACATTCCATCCGGGCTGCAGGGTCCCATCTCTCAGTGCAACAGCCACTGATACGTACAAGTTTAAGCCGAGCTTAGCCAGTAACGCCCTTCTCCAGTAAAGCATGAGTCCAGCCTTCTTTAGTCCCACTCCTTTAGGATGGGGGATGCTGGTTTGAGGACAGACTTGCCTCCCTTTAGCCAGATGTTATTGAGGACAGTGCAGAAGAATCTGACAGAGGTTATTTTCCAACCCAGTGGATGAAATTCTAATAGAGGCGAGTATGTGTAGCTCAGGGTTGAACTGTGGAGTCCTTGGGATTAATCAAGGAACTACCAGAGGAGCAAAACAAAACCCCCACCCCCACCAGCACTGGCAGGGCAGGCCACAGCATATAAATAGAGAGCAAACCCCATCCCATTTTACCCCTGAAGATGTTACCTAGCCGTTTGCAAGAAAGAACCAAGCTCAGAGAACCCCAAGGACTCCACGAGTGGAATTCTATTAGAATTTACAACTGGGAAACCGAAACAATTGGTTTACAGGAAAACAAATCAAATGTACTGTTCACTGGGGGAAAAGTCTTTATTCTTAGCCTCATAGAAGATGTATTTAGACTTAATAACACTACTAGTACCTCAAACATATTGTATCCATCCTCCCTCCCCAATCTTTTCAAAAAAAAAATGTAGCTACAAAAGCATAAGTACATGTTCTAGTGGGATGGCTTTAAGCCACTTACTTAGATCACATATTGCATTAATCCATAGGTTGTATAACCCATATTTTATTGAATAAAACACCCACTGTAAGCCATAAACCCGGGTATGTAAATCACAATTGGCTGGGTTCCCAGAATTGACTAAGCCATAGTAAGGTTTGTTCTTTTGACTTTGTGTATTTTGTGAGCACAGCTCACAGTTTTTCTCTTTTAGAAAGTCTAAGCACTTCTCTTCCCTTTCAACGGGGCAATGCACCCCTCTTCCTTTTGGCAAGCTTGGAAGCTGGGGTGTTCCAGTTTTGGATAGGCATCTACTCTCTGGTGTTTTCTACTCCTCCTCTTCCCCCAGTCAATGCTTGTGACACTGCACGTTCTCTTTTTGCTTTGCAGAGTTTGGACATTGAGGATGAAAAGAACGTTCTGAGCAAAAGAACTCCTGATTCATCCATAATTGAGAATGGACATCAGTTGTCAGAAGGTAAGGAAAGAAAGTCCTTTTAGTGAGAATACAAATCTTTACCTGTTTCTGATATGGTGTGAGAGTTAAACTGGCTTTTGGGGTGATGTCGCACAGGTTCTGGAAGTTGGGTTCACTCTTCTCATCCTGCCTCTGGATTACAAGAAGAAAAATGTCCATTTAGGCTAGGGATGAAATAAAGAGTGTCTTCTAAATCACTAATTTTTTTAATGTTTACCATGTTGAGCTTAAATGAAAACCCAGGTGGATTGCCAGCATTCCATTAAACAACTTATAATAGTTCAAATTAAAATAGTACTTCATGTTTCAGGAGGGGGTGATTCTTTTAAAAATGTGATTAAGAGCATCATACGTAGTAGTCCTCATTTAGCCTTGGTTTAGTGACCATTTGCAAATATGGTAATAAAAAATTCATTTTCTGACCAATGCACACATTTATGACCAAATTTTGCCTAACAACAACACATGTCAGAGTGAGAGTAAGACTGGCGTAGCATATGGCGTAGCAGAGTGAGATGGTAGCAACCAATGATTTTCGCAGCGTCTCCCTCTTTCAATCATGTGTTTGCCTAGCAACCATTTCGCTTAATAACCTGGTCATTGGAATGGAACTCGGTCATTAAATGAGGAGTAGATATGTAGAAATGATTTCCTAAATAAATATTAGTTTTTAAATTTAGACATTTATTGAAAAGATAAAACAGCATAAACAAAGTCATGGATGTCATTTAAACAAATAAAAGAAAGCCTAATACTGATTTGTGAATCATTGAACAAGGCATAGATCTTGGTTACATATCTGAACATACTTCAGTGGACATCAAAAAATAGAACATATGAAACTATACAGTCAGTAAAAGTTGTAGATTTGTGTTGTTGTTGTTTACATGCTATAATAAAGCACTTACTTGGCCATATGGACTGAATTGTCACTCATTTACTCTGCTTGAAGGAGTCTCGTATTTGTGGCATTTGAACTTTCTATATTATTCTGAGAAATAGTATTTAGGAAAAAAAAAAACTTCCCTGGAAAATTTGAGGCAATCTAGAATTTTAATAAAAATTTGATCCCAACACAGTCTTTCTCTTTTTCCCCCCAGGCCTGGCTAGGCTCAGCTAAGAAACACTCTTCTCTTCACTTTTCAGATTCTCCTATTGAGGCGCACGCTCCAGCAGTGAGTTTGCGGATGCCACACCAGCCTGTTACTGCAGTAACTAGAGTATCAGAAACGTTTTCAGGAGAAACTGTTGGATCACCAATTGTGCCAAGTGCTCCTGGTGGGCAGCAGAGCAACACTCATAGCGAGGGTGTGTCCAAAACATTGACTCAAGCAGGTAAGATAATGGATGACCTGAAGAAAATGATCCCTGTTTGTGCAATTCTAGCTGTGCAAAGGTAGATCTATTAGTGCTATGCACCCTTTGAAAATGATTGGGAAGAAATGCGTTGAATTTCACATGAACACAGTGCCTCTCTGTTGCTCATTAAAGCAGCTGTCTCCTTCATGCCCTAAGTAACTACCTTAAGAGTCAAAGGATAAGTCAACTTATCCAAAAGTGGGGGCACTTTTATTCAGGATCCTGGAGACCCCCCGAAAAAAAGCTGTGCCTGCTTTAATGAATAGTTCGAGAGGTTTTCTACAAGACCCCAAATATTTATGTATGATTGAATTACTGGAAGTGATCTTCATAAATAACCCAGGAATGTCCCATTGCATCCATTGCTAGGAAGGCCATTTCTGGTACAGGTTTTTATACACATCTCTTTAAAAATATGTTTTGTTCAGAACTATACGTATGTGTGGGGAGATGTTTATGCCTCATGTAACCCTTTGTGGAATTAGAGTTTCAGTTGGGTATGGATGATTTGGATTTTGGTGGTGAGGGAGGAAGAGACAGCTTTCTTGTGCATAAAAGTTGGGATGGGCCTTTTTTAAAAAATAAAAACATCAGAGAGACGCGCTTTTGTTCTGGGAAGTATTAACTCTCACTGAGTGCATTCCCACAATATATTTCACTTGGTTATTAAATTAAACCATTTTCTGGGTCTGCACACTACACTAATCAAACGGACTGTTGGGCAAATGCTGACTTGTTGGAATGTAACCTTTTGAAACGAGGGACCTAACCAGGCCCTGATGGGTTAGTGGTCTGATTTGGAGCTCTAATTTTCTTCTGTCTGTAAAACAAAATCACATTTTTTCTCTTTGTAAAAAATGTATGTGTATATGTATAGATGTGAAAGGTGCTGGCAGTTCAGCCCTGAGCACTGCGAAGAACTGGAACACGAGTTCAGTGAGGACAGCAAGTGCTTCCTTTACCTCAGGTTGGGGTGTGCTTGTGTACATTTTCCTCATTTTTGAATTATACTTTTTTGTACTGTTATACCATGGAGATGAGTTTGTGGCCTGGTATGGAAAAAATGACAGAATAAATAGGTTTCCCAAGTCCTCCGTGTTCAGGTTCCAGGCATTTACCTTCTAAAGTGCAACAGTCTTTCTGCAAATATTGGATGCTGCCTGGCTAACACTTATATCAGGCAGACATGATTGGGTGAAGAACAGGTATCCCAGACTGAAAGACGAAGAACCTGGGGACAAAGAGGATTATTACTGATATATAACTTTCAGAATTAACTCGGCACGTTTGCACAACACGTGAAGCCTGGTGTAAAGGATGTATAAGAGTCCTGCCCGTTGAGTGCTGTGCCAGGTGTCATGGCACGCCACAGCCACATATAAAGATGTTAAAAGTTGTATGGAAACCAGGGGGCTTGACTAGGGTGGAAGCAGAGGGGTCCACAAGATCAGAGGACTTGGGCAAAATGATAAAAAGAGCCCACGCCGTTGTGAAACAATTGTGTAACAGCACAATGCTGTTTTCATCATTGGATGCCTCTGGCCATAGGTGGCTACCCAGGGAATCAAAATTGGCAAGATGGCAGACCCTTTTGGGGCATGGTGAAGACATGGGCTGTTCTTCATCTCAACAATCTTGCTGATTTTGACACATGCCTATGGTGTCTCATCAGCTGAATACAGTGCTTTTGCGTAAATGTGCTTCAGATGGTAAATGGGCTTTGACCCCAGACATGGGTATCTGCAGCGGGTTCCACAATGTCAAAATGGATGCAACAGGGCAATTGAAGCCTTGCCCCTGTTTATCAAGCGTAGTGCGCATCACATAGGTGTAAAAAGGGATGGGGCTTCCATCTCCCACCACTCCCACCATTTTGATGTCATTGACCCCCCCCCCGACCCC